GCTCGGTGGCCCATTTTGCCACATGTGTAGCACTTGACCCTGTTGCCGGCACAGTCCACCCCTGGGTGGTCTTTGTTGCATCTCGTGCAGTTGAAATGCCTCTCCACTGCCATGTTTCGACGGTCACGCCTCTGGTCATGACCAGGGAACCTCCTCTCATCCCTCGGGCGATTGTGTGTTGGTTCTGCATGATGATGAACCCTAGCCCGCTTTTCTCCTTGCCTATTCTCCTCTTCGTTCTTTCTTTTCTTGTGGGCTTCTCGCTGGAGTTGTATTACTCGATAGTGCTTCGCAGCTTTGTAATAGGCATCATCCAATGTTTGCCAGTCTTGCACCGTCATCATCTTCTGTGTGTCGTAGTTCAGTCCTCCGATGAACTTCTCGATCTTACCCTCCTCATCGGGTACAATTGATGTTGCAAACTCTGACAGCGTGACAAATTGACTGTGATACTCTTGCACTGTCATTTCCCCTTGCTTCAAATGTAGGAACTTGTCACGATTTTCCGCTTGCACGTGTGGCGGGTAAAACCTTTTTCGCAGTGCACGCTTGAACCGATCCCAAGTGAAGTCCGGTTGTGCGATCAACCCTGGTCCCACATGAGCCCACCATTTATCTGCTTCTTCATGCAGATAATAAACAGCAATGTTAATTCGTTGGTCTGCCGGGCAGTTGATCACATCAAATAGCTTGTCGAAGGTGCGTATCCAATTCTCAAGAAGGACTGGATCCTCTTGCCCAAGGAAGCTCGGCGGGTTTCGAGCCGCTACACGACCTTCCATGTTGTTGCCGTTATTGGGTTGGTTCTGAAACGCCGCAGTGATTGTTTGGGTGAGCTGCGTGAGAGCTTGCGCCAGCTCAGCGTTGGTAGGGACGGCATTCGGATCCCTCCTCGGTGGCATTGTGTCTTCATATGGATAATAACTTGAATTAGTAAAGAAAACCTTTCCTACATTCTCTAAGGATCCTAGAACTAAGGATTCAATGGGATACCAAGTTATATCATACAATTATTTCACCACGAAGGTGTAAATATTCACAGATAGGATTCACATTTCATGTCACAACATTTTTGCACATAATGTACATACCTTGGCCACTTTGGAATTTTGCCTTATGAGGCATTCCCTTCACACTTGGGGTTCCCATTTTACATATGGGCCCACAGTTCTCAACTTTTCACATAATATATATAACATAAAAGTAATACCCACAAAGTCCTCACCACGTTCCTAAAGGCCATTTTCTAGTAATCTTGTTTTTCCTAGTCAAAATATTTTGAAAACCCCCATTTGAAGGTATGATTCCAAAGGTTTTGTTTAAGGGGTTCGAACAACGAAGTTTCAGCACAAGGAGAAATTCCCAGTTAGTTGGACGAGCGCAAAGGCTCAATTATGCACCAACCAGCTCAGACTCTTATCGTCTCGTTGACAGAATTCCTCCCTACGACCTATTACCTCGTGTCCTAATCCTTTCGGAAAACCTGGCTCTGATACCAACTTGTAACACCCCCAAAATTCCCGCCCGAAATAATACTTAAAGAAATAATAATCTTTATTTAATTATTCAAAACTTGGAATTTGTTTGCAGCGGAATTAAACAATAATAGGGAAAAGGGCGTGTTACCGCCACACCCAGCCCCAAACCGACTGGATGCTAAGGCTATCTATCGTAAATGTATCTAAAGTAATTATTAAATTCAACATTTGAAATCATGAAATCTAACAAGGTTCATTCTAAATGAGACTACTCTAAAAAACTTCTAGGAGCGCTCTCAGTGCATCAGTCTTCATAAACCACATCATCTGTAACATAAGAAAATAAAAGAAACAAATAACACAAAAATTAGCTTTAGAGCTAAGTAAGTCCCACCCAACCCCGTAAAATAATAGTTTTGTTGAAAAATAAGTATTTGTATATAGTATATACAAAATGAGTTTCCAGTAATTTCAAAAAAAGTAATAATATCTCTAAAAGATTTTCCTCAATAGTTCTCGTAAGTATTTCAAAGAATAACTCTCCAAGTACCAAAATATTTGATTTTTCCTCAAAATAGCTTTATAGCTAATTCTCCTAATCATTTAATTAGAAGGGCGGTGCTCAAGCGTTATCTCGATTCTTGAGCCCAGTGATCCGTTGTTTTGTACGGTCACTCCGATCTACTCTCGGTACCTCATCTCCTCTATTAGAATCTAGACTTCTACCTTAAGTGTGCACACCCCCTAAAGGGATTCCAAGCCCTCCGAGTAGTAAGAAGTCTAAGTAGTTCTGACGTCAACGTCTCCCTACTCAAAATGGGATATACTCCCTAAGTTCTAGGTTCAAAGACCCTTAAGAGAATAGGTACTACTACTACTGCTTTAATAAATGGGATCTAATGCCCAGTTGTTCGGGGTGGTTACCGAACCCTCCAAAAATTCATTTAATTTGCTTTACACCTCTCAATTCAAGTAGTAGTAGTCCTAACCCTCCCTCACCATTAACGGACGTGAAGGTGGCCCGACACCTACGGATTTCTCCCGTGGTGCCCCAATTATGAAAACAGTCTTTTATCTTGACTTTCCAAAAATTTCACATTTATGTCTCTTGGACAAAATTTTACCACAAGGATTATTATCCTTAAATTCATAACTTTATATTTTCCCCAAAATATCTTACGTATACACATAATCCAGTGTATCTCAAAATCACAACAAATACAACTTGCTCACAAGTAATTCATCAATAAAAAAAATATTCATACCTTCACATAATCAAGTAAATAATTATTTACGAGGTAAAAACATAATTTTGGTTGCAATGTGACTTACCTCAAACTCCAAGCAAGTATGTTATAGCTAATCCTCCAACTATGCCCTTTCACCCGATTCACCTTCTATTGAAAATTCTAAAGTCAATAATCATTTATAGATTGATTCACCTACCCTTAATCTGTTCCCCCTTTATGAGTAGTTTACATTAATTTAGTTAACCTATTTAGCCAATTGTAATTATACGGAGTAATTAACAATTTCGTTCCATAAGGATTATTAGAATTTTAGTTAGTAATCTGTTCCTAAGGTTATTAAAAACACTCACTATTAGTTGTTTATTACCTTAATTCAATTCGTAATAACACATTCGAATTACTTCAAGGTATGGTTACGATATTCGAATCAAGTAATTATTTAATTTATAAGTTTAGCTTTTATCTTAATAAACCCATAAATTTTATTTTGGTCCATACATAAATTCCCGAATTTCCTTAATAGTCTACTGCTATATCAATACTCATCGTAAATCAAGTAACGAAATAGTCCAGTCCATAATAATTCATTACTTTACTTCCATTAGTGCTGGTAACCCAATCAAGTATTTATTCTAAGTAAATCCTTATTCGATTGAACAAATTAATCTCGATAATGTAACTCACACCCATACTATTTCTTTTATAAGGATTACCTATTTACTTTTACACAGTTAGTTATCACAAGTCAAATAATTCAATCAATCTGGTTCGATTTTAACTAATCAGTCCATTACTCATTGATGGTGAATAGAAATTAACTGGTTTTCGGTCAACCCAGTTGGTTTGTTACAGTCCAGTTATCATCCCAGTATACTAACGGCCGGCTAATTTATAATTTATACTGATTGCGAAAAGGAAGAAACGACCGCAGAGTATATTTCGTGCGTCGTCTTCCTCAATCGTCAATCTATCCAGCGAACGCAGGGATACAACAAGACTTACCTATGACGACGGGCGGTGACACAGGGGTAGCAGTCAACAGTACGTGGTGATGCGTTCCCGACAATCCGTCCCTCTCCGGCGAGCTTTCTTTCCTCCGGCGACGTGCTTGGTCCGTCCTTCCTTCGCTTACTCTCGTCTCTTGCCGGCGTGAGTTCTAAACTCCCTCTCTCACTCGGTTCTCTCTTTTTTTTTTCATCTTTCTGTCTATTTTTTTTTCTTCTTCTTCGTATGGTGCAGTGTAGATTGATGGAAACGCTGCTATTTATACAGCTCGTCGATGTTTCTAGGGCGTATGTCTATATGTACCGAATCTTTAGCATTTACTGCAGTTTCCTTCGTTGGTTTAAAAGCATGTGTTTACGCAGAGGATCCGGCGAGTGTATGCTTATATATGGAATGAACCGAAGCCTTTCCATAATATTATTACTACGTATAATTGATCGTTGCCTGGTGTGTATATTTGTTAATTAAGTGCTTAATTATGTACGGAGTACTACAATACGTACATATATTATCGTACATATATTATTACGTACGTACATACTATCTATATACTACTACTTATATTATCGTAAAAGTTAATTAACTTAGTATTGTTAATCATCCCCTTGATATTACGGAGTTATATGTGAGTACCTGGTGTGTACCTTGTACACTTAAATGTATTATTTAATTTATTTTTAAAATGTCACCTTTGTTATGTAAGTCAAAATTTTATTTGATGAGCTCAATAATAAGAAATGTCACCTTGCAATGTTTTATCGGATTAACAAAATTATCATCCTATACGGATTTATTATTATTATTATTATTATTATTATTATTATTATTATTATTTTAAATTAAATTTTCGGAGTGTCACATTCTACCCTCCTTAAAAGATGCTTCGTCCCGAAGCATAAGTTAGGTTAAAATTTCAAGTGTTACAATTGTATTACTCCCTCTGCCCCCTAATATTGGGACGGAAGAGAGTGAGGTAGTTTTTAAGAAAAGTAGATTTATGTGGTTCATACTGACTTAATGAGTTGATAAAGTGAGAATAAACTAAGAATGAATTAGAGCCACACAAATGTTACCAATATGATATGAGACAATGATAGGGGGACATCCAAAAATGAAAAAATGGGACAATTAAGGGGGACGGAGGCAGGGGCGGACCGTGTGTTGTTCAAAGGTGTTCACGTGAACACCCGGAATTTTCCAAAAAAATTAAAAACGACGTCGTTTTGTGCGTTTAACTAAAAAATTAAAACTCCGCCGATTTGCCTTTACTGCTATGTCGTATCCCAGAAGGTTGAAAGCCAGAATTCAGAAGCAGATCGGAGAAGCCCAAACCTGTTTTGCTTCGTTCCAATTTCAAACGACCAGTGCCGCTAGGTCTTCTCACAAAGTCACAAATCACGCAGCAAGTCAGTCCCGCACTCCCGCTCCCGGCTTGAGACTTCCAGTACTTCACCGCAGCACTGTCTCGACACAATCTGCAACCACCGCTCCTCTGCCGCTGCCGCTCTGCTACGGCGCTAGGCGCATGCGGACTCGCCACTCACGCCTCAGCCAAGACAGCCAACTGAGCTAAGCACTCGGTAAATTTCTAAATTGGATTTCTACTTGTTTGTTGGTAACAATTGTACTCCGTATGTCGGTAGGTGTAATTTGTATTTTGACATTTTGGGAAAAAAGATGATATTCCGTAAATGATAAATTGATCATGTCAGATTCAATATTGATATGTTTCTTTCAAGTTACAAACTTACCCCTTTTTTGATAATTAATATACTAAAAAGTACAAACAAAACATACTAAATGACCTGGTTGTCTGGCAGTTCAGCACTTTGTTAAGTTTGGTCCCTGGCAGACTTGAGAACCGAAGTGGCAGTAATGAAGAACTTTTAGATTATTTGAAGAAAAACATGAGCATTAGGAAAAATAAGTTAATGTAGTACTTTTATTATACTTTATTAATATACTATGCTTTGGTTTGCAATGTAAGGCTTTCTTATCGACAAATATGCAATTGTTGAATTACATGATCATTGTGATAATTTTAATTTTAATTTAGTTTCGAACACCCAAAACCTGAGGTCTAGATCCGCCACTGGACGGAGGGAGTATTATTTTTTAAAGAAAACCAATTATTTACTTGCACACTTAAATCAAATTCCATTGTAGTTACATATGTAAAATTGAAAGCACCAGTTTCGCGAGCCAGCAATATTAATCTTAATAATCTAGATTTTTTGAATTTACAGTTTAGATTAAACAATTAGCAATGAGATGCCAATGCATTATTATTTGCGGTCAACTATGTTCAAGAAAGGTTAGTGGATTACTAATATTAATCGTCCAGCATGAGACGCTTGAAGAGATTGATTTTGAAGCTATGATTGACGATTTTGCTTCACAATCTTGTATGAAAGATGTTTTTAAATTTTACATTTATGTTTTAGCTTTAATTGTTATTTGTGGTGCTATTTTTATTTATATATGCAACTTATCAGATGAAAGGTATTACTATTATTATATCTTTTAACATAGTTTTATCATATTCAATACTATGACAAAGTATGAAATATAAAAAAATTGAGAAAAAAGTCAAAGAGTTTTGCTCTGTCCTGACAAACAGGAAGGCCCTGTCTCAGTCAACAAATTCTGGAAGACTAATCGGTTCCTGAGCCTATCATGTTAATTCGGAGTATTAATTTACCTATTGTAGTGTTTTGAAAATAATCTGAGTGGTTTCCTTTGATTTAGTTTGTGTTTTTTTTATTTATTTGTCCCGACTGCACCACCATGACATTGTAATTTCTGCTGTAGGTTTTCATTTGCCAATCCTGTAACCCTAAAAGCTGCCTTGAAAACCTATTTGGAAGAACGATTTAGAAACATACAATAAAACTTCTAATGGAAAGCAGCAATGGAAGTACAACTGGAGGCAGAGAGTGGATGGCTGAGGATGCCATTGCTGGAAATGCAGAGGCGGTCCGTGCTCTTCGGGAACTCATTATGTATCCACTCCTGTATTCTCAAGAGTCTCAAAAGCTTGGCCTCAAAGTAATTTGGATACGAATGTTTTTGTATAGTTCCCCTCACTAATAATATTGATAGACTTGTTTATTTGTGGGTATCTTTCATTGTCTTCTTATAGTGGCCTCGTGGCTTGTTGCTCTATGGTCCACCTGGTACTGGAAAGGTAGATACACATTTATTCTCTTGGCTATCTATCTCTTAGCTTGATCACCATTTGCATTGTGAGAAAAAGGGATCTATTTCTCAAATATTGTTCCAATAATGTATTACTGGATTTGCAGACAAGTTTGGTTAGAGCAGTTGTTCAAGAATGTGGAGCACATTTGACTGTTATTAGGTACTACATATTGTAATGTTTTATGTGTGTCATGTTTGTTTTTTTAGATCTATACATATAGAGCTATCCCCTAGCAAGCTTTATTTTCTATTTTTAAGCAGATGAGAGACTAAGTACTCATTCCTCCCCAGAATAGAGTCGTGTAATTCGTGTTTAAAATAATGATCCTAGTATTACAATGGTGACTTTTTTCGGGACTAAGGTAGTGTTATGTGCACATTTTAGTGATAGAATCATAGAAATAAAATGTACATTTTGGAGTTAATGAAATGTTTCATTGCTTATCATGATGTTAAAGTGGAGATATTTATGCTAAAACGTTACATAGCTTATGAAGAAACTTGACACACATTAGTTGCTTTGGGAGATATCAAGAAAATATTTGTGGGTCATATGTGAATGCCTTATCTCTTTTCCCATATGAGAAGCTGTGATAAATATATGGGCATGAATCCCAAATGTCATTAATTTTGTGGTGCATCTGTAGCCCACACAGTGTCCATAGAGCACATACTGGAGAAAGCGAGAGAGTTTTGCGGGAAGCATTTGCAAAAGCATCGTCTCATGCAAACCTTGGGAAGCCATCTGTTATCTTCATAGACGAAATTGATGTACTATGCCCTCGTCGTGATTCTAGGTAATCATTCCAGTTAATACACTTTTCCAGGGCCATGAGTTTTAACTTTATCTCAAACTTGTATCACTTAATGCTTTCTTAATGTATTATTGCCCATCGTTTGAAATTGCACAATGAGGTTACACAATAGGTAATGCTAAGAAACCGCCTCAAGCTTGCAAAACGCAATTTCAAACATTGTCATTGCCTGAGTAGTATGGAAATCGGAAATATGGTTTCTAAAAAAATACATGACACAAAATATGGGAAAAACACACTAATTTTAAAAAACATGAGGACATATGTATAAATATTTTTATATATGTATACATGTTTTTTCGTTTATATATATGCACATTATTTCAGATAATTTTGTTTGATAACCATTAGTAACTAAAGACTATGTATTCAAGTTTATAAACTATTACCCCCTCTGTCCCGCTAATATTGTCCCATTTTACCTTTTCGGGAAATCCCACTTAAATTGTCCCATACCAAATTTGGTGAAGTTTGTGTGACTCTAAATCATTCTTACTTTATTCTTTTGCTAGGAAGAAATCTTATAAAAATTCACCAGAGTTTTGGAAAGGCACTATTTTCCGTCAATGGACCCCATCAAAAGGAAAAATACTTGGAAATCCAAAATTTCCTAAACGTTATTATTTTGGGAAACAAGCTTTCCAATTTTTCTTAATTATTGAAACACCCCTCAAACTGGAATTTGAAGTTCTGGAGTTTTTGATACGCTTTCCAGTTTGCGGAGCGGGGAAGCATGAGCCATTGGAAGTTTCTGTGCTTCATAGATTATTGCACTTGCACATAATACTTTCATATTCATATTTCATTCAACATACTTGGTGAGTTTGCTATTGCAGAAGAGAACAAGATGTACGTGTAGCTTCTCAGCTCTTTATGTTGATGGACTCTAATAAGTCCGTTTCAACATCTGGATTACATGTTGTTGTAGTGGCATCAACTAATAGGTGGGTTCTACTGATGTTTCAGGGAAGTAACTTTTTGGTTTCCATTTTTTCTTGTGTTGTATTCAAATAAAGTACAAAGAGGTCATTTTGGTTATTTTTATTTACTTTTAAGTTCCATATATTAGTAAATGCGATTTACTCTTGACGGAGAAACCCTTTTTTTCCATCATTCTCTCAAGTAACCTGTAATGGCAATTTGGCAAATCAAACCCCCCGATACTATTCCAATTTAGGATATTTTTTTGACATGTGGATTGCAAAAGAAAGCATTATTATTCTATCTTTTATTATTGAAGGTCAATAGTAATTTGGTGGTGTTGCTTTCAAGGGTATCACCTATTTTGTTATTTTACAATCACTATAAATTATTGATATGGAATAAACCCGTACTCATAGAAATCCAACCTTTATATGTTTATATTATTTTAACTACAAAGATGTTGATATGCCATGAACCCATACCCAAAGAAATACAACTTTAATATGTTTTATTCATGGCAGGCAGGGAGGGTGGGATTACTAAAGTTTTTCTCTCTATGGTGAGGGATAAATAGTCGCTTTTTGAATCGAACAAACTGTTGATTTTTACAACCATACTGTAGTGTCTGAGCTAATAATATACACCATTTTTAATTTACAACCATACATCCGTTTTTTATTTTAATAAATCAGTAAGTTTTTTTTGTCACTGTGGTGAAGGATAAACAATCTCTTTTTGAATAAAAAAACTGTTAAGTTTTTCAACCATACTATGATATCTGAATCAAATTACGCCATATGTAATTGGTATACTGTCTTTTAAATGTTTATTTTTAATACCATATAGATTGTTGGTTGCAAGTCTTTTAAGATGAATGTTTTCTGTGATTAATGTTCAGGGTTGACACACTCGACCCGGCTCTAAGAAGATCTGGGCGTTTTGATGCTGAGATTGAAGTCACAACCCCTAATGAAGATGAACGCTTTCATATCCTCAATGTATGGTGCTCATCATGGAGTATTTATTATTATTTGACGAAATTCACAAGAATAATCCCTACTTTTATGGATTCTACAATAATAATCCGGACCAAGGTAGTCAAAGTCGTGAGGCGCACTCAAGGCGATAGGGTATTCCCAGCGCCTGAGGCGCAAGGCGCAAAAAAGCGCTCGCCTGACTCGGGTGAATCGCACTACTTAGATAAAATCACATATACTGTTCTATAATTACCAAATATGATGTATGTAACATCATATTGAACCAAATGCATAAAAAAGCTAGGATTCATCAAAATAAAGTCATGCAACAACAACAACAACATCCAAGCCTTAGTCCCAAAAGATATTGTGGTCGGCTAACATGAATCGATACATGATATCACCACCAAAAGGAAGAGTAAGAAAATAAAGATAAAAAAGATAAGCTATTATGGAAAATATAATATAAAAAGAGATGAATATACCCAAAAATGATAAAATAAAAAGCATAAAAATAATGTTTATATATATAAGCAAAAAAGGATAAAAAACAAACAAGAAAAAAAGAAAAAAGACAAAAAAAAAGAAAAAAATAAGAAAAAAAAAGAAAAAAAAGAGGGGAAAAGATAATACGATATCACTCATCCACACGAATACCCGCCTTCCACTTTGCTCAAAATAAAGTCATGATTCACAAAAATTAGGATCTTTTTTGTTAGCCAAGTAATTGCGTTTCCAAGCTGGGTCTTTTTTGTAGAGTTTTCACTTTCAGCACCACCTGCAGCACTTGTTCCACCTTCCATATCCTGGAAAAGTACAAAGCTGGAATTATTTAATAATTAATACACTGGAAAACATCTTTGGAAAACCACAAAGTAGAGTACATATATAATATATTTATGGGCCAAACACTCGAATATGGGTGCTCAATAATGGAAAAACAGAAAGCTGGTTGTGTGTTTATCATGTTCTTTTAGTTTTTCATCTGTGTTTGTCATCTTGTGTGTTGTAAAAGGTGGTTATCAACTTTGAAAAACATGTTATACTCAGCCCTATGTTAACAGCCATGTTTTACTCTAGTTGGGTCAAACAGAGTAATATCTTTAATATTTATAAAACACAAGAGTGACAGAATTGAGTAATGCATTTAAAGTTAAGAACTTAATATACTCTGAAAGATTAGAGTAATATCTTTACAAAACCACAAAGCAGAGCACATATGAGTATTATATACATACTAATATACTAATACGTAGTATTATTACTTTATTACACATTTACGCTAATATTTAGACACTGGTGTAATATGAGTATTTGGATAAAGAGGACTGTATGAAAAAGAAAACATACCTTGTTTAGTGCTGAGAGGGAGAGCTGAGTTTGCTTGAGATGATGATGAAAGCTTAAAGAACTGGCTGGTGTAGAGCAGCTTCAAGTGAGGAGAGTGAGGATGGCTAGCGATGATTGCAGTAGTGTCTTGCGCAAGTTTTACGTGTTTACTTACATAGACTCTTGGTTTTACGTCGGTTATACTGTTTTTACCCAAATATTTTCATGGGCTTAGTGTTATTAAAGATATGGGCTAATTGTATTTGAAAGTTTAAAACAAAAAAAGGCTGTCAGCCCTTTTCCAGCTCAGGCGACCCAGGCGTGCGACTTGCAGCGCTTGATGCGCTTCATGCGCCTTACCCAGGTACGTGCGCTTCACCTATTTCCAAGCGCTGGGGGGTATGCTCGCTGCGCCTTGTGCGCTTAAGCGCTGAGGCGAGCGCTTTTGACAACCTTGATCCCGACTAAGAGTGTCCATACAAATAATTGTACTAGCAATAGTGTCGACAAGAATAAATTGGAATGAATTCAAACTAATGTCTATTTAATACTCAGTCCCTACATTTATTTCCCCATTCTCCACTCTCCGTCTCGGTTAACACTTTTATGTTCCAACCTAGGGAGAACCACATATGGCGGGAATGGTGTTGATATCAAACATGTTTAGTTTGAATTATCCCCGAGAAGAAGAGCGGGGAAGAGAAAAGTGGGAGTAAAGGTTGAAAGTATTAAACTAGCATTAATTTGAATTCACCCCAATTTATTCTTATGAATACCATAGCTAGTTCGGATTATTTTTGTGGACACTTTGAGTAGGGATTATTATTATAGAATCCATAAACGTATGGATTATTCTTATGAACTTCACCTTATTATTTAGGAGGCACCTGCTTTTTATTTTGTCAAAATTCCGAGAAAATATATTAATACAAGAAACATACAAAGGTCAAAGAAAAGATACAACAACACAGTCTTGTAAAGAAAACAAAAAATGAAGAGGACAGAAGCTATAAATTTCACGAGAATACATATAATATGTGTCCAGCTTGTGATTAATACTCGACAAAAAGGATCGATGGGTATAGAGCAAAATATATCTTGTAGGACTTATTGAAACTGGGCTGTCAAGTCTAATAAATCCTCAACAACAATAACAATTTTTTATGTTAAAGTTTTATGGAGATTTTGTTGAGTGATGGTGTATTTTATGTTGACACATTGCAGCTTTACACTAAGAAGCTTCCATTGGACCCCAGTGTTGACCTGTAGTCAATCGCTGCCTCTTGTAATGGCTATGTTGGGGCAGATTTAGAAGCTTTATGCCGCGAAGCTACTACGTCTGCTGTCAGACGATCTTCAGAATTAGATCAAGTAGATTGCTCTTGGAACATAACAGTGGATGACTGGAGGCATGCCAAATCTATTGTTGGTCCTAGTATAACAAGAGGTGTAGTTGTGGAAATTCCAAAGGTTTCTTGGGAGGATATTGGAGGACTACAAGGCATAAAGGTTTGTACCTGTTAGCTTACTCGGACCCTGTTTGTTAAAGTTGATAGGCTTATTCTGTATATTCTCCTTTCAGCGGAATAGTCAGAATAAGTAGCCTTTGACATACGTATTTGGCTGAAATCGATTTCTATGCGCCTTTCCTTTTAGAAAGTTCAGCATATATGGTCTAACAACCCTCACCAAACACTCTCTCGGGCTAAATATCTTTATATATAACTTTTTTATTTGATAAATGGAACAGAAAAAGCTACAGCAAGCTGTAGAGTGGCCGTTAAGGCATTCTGAAGCATTTGCGCGGTTGGGAGTATCACCTCTTCATGGCATCCTTCTTCATGGACCTCCAGGGTGCTCTAAAACCACCCTTGCAAAAGCTGCTGCTCATGCTGCACAGGCTTCCTTTTTTTCGTTGAGGTATGTGATAAGAAACCTTACTTTTTATGTTCTTTATGAGAATTGCAACTTTTTTCATATTATTTTAATGATAATGCACCAGTGGTGCAGAATTGTATTCGATGTATGTCGGTGAAGGTGAAGCTTTGTTGCGCAATACATTTCGAAGAGCTCGACTTGCAGCACCAAGCATTATTTTCTTTGATGAAGCTGATGTCATTGCTGCCAAACGGTAATTTGCGCAGGATAAAAAGTTCCCCTTATGTAAATGTGACTTAATTGAGCTTCAATTTCTAGGAATTAGTTGCTTACTTCCAGTGATGACTAGGAGAAACCAATGTTCTGAGATTTGCTTAGGCAGTAGCCAGGCATTTGAGTGATGCTTAGCTTGCCTAGTGTGCCTAAACGAGCAGCTAACCTATGTAAGAGCACTCTGGCTTCCTAATCTGCTTAGAAATGAATTGCTCAAGAGGCGTCTGCATGTCTAACTAGCCCGATTATTAAAACACTGTGATAAAACACTGCAAATGTGTACACCAGGATAAATATTTCTTCATCCCAAAAAAGTTTCTTTCGAACTCTTTTTGTCTCCCAAAAAGAGTAACTTAGACCAAACAAAGAAAATCGTTCATGTAATTTTTAAAAAATAATGTCACATAAAGTTACATATGGTAATATGTTAAATTTAGTTTAAATAAAAAATAAATAGACAACTATAAATATTATTCACGATTTATGAGTACCTAAGTAAAATTAAAAAGTTCTGCATTAACCTTCAGGGGTTATTCATGTTTCAACTAGTTTGAATCCAGGAACAAAATGTTCTCTGGGGTTACATGTTTGAATCCTCTTGGAGGTCACTGCCAAAAGGTCCGCGGTACCCACCCTGTAAATAAAAGTAATGCATTGTTCGAACATGACTTGTTTATTTATTTATTTAGTTAGTTATTTAGCATGCATATGCAAATTTTAGGGCCTGTTTACTAACAGAGATATTTTCCAGTTTTCTACTTCTGTTTTCCGTTCTCCAATTTTCTGTTTTCATGTTCCAGTTTTTCTATCTCCAATTTTCTGTTTTCATTTTTTAGTTTTCCATTTTCAAATCTGAAAACATGTTCGTCAAATTCTGTTCACCCGGTTCTGTGATCGTCCAGAAGACCGAAAGTGTGGTCTCATTCCGAAATCAAACCTAGTACAATCCAAGTAGGGTACCAGGTCCCATATAGGATAGTCGGGACCAAAACCGATCAGTCTCGGTCGATCTCAACGGTTAGTGTGACAAATTCTTTTCTAATTTCCCTATTGGTTGAAACTCAATGCTCTATTCAAACTCTTCACTTAAAAAATGAATTTTAAAAAAACCGAGACTGCCGGGTCATTGACCGGCCCGGACCGGGTCATTGACCGGCCCGGACAAATATATGAATTTTATCCTATATTTGTTTATTTTTCTATCTACTCTTGTAGTGGTGGAAGTTCTAGCGGAAGCAGCCTTGTTGGGGAGAGACTTCTGTCTACTCTTTTGACTGAAATGGATGGCCTGGAGCAAATGAAGGTGATCAGAAATCCCTTTATTGTTCTTTATTTGCCAAAGTAATGCAACCTAAACACACCTTCCTTTCAATCCATCAGGGGATTCTTGTTTTAGCTGCAACCAATCGCCCTCAGGCAATTGATGCTGCACTTATGCGACCTGGGCGCTTCGATCTGGTATCAGTTATTTCATAGTTTACTTGCGCTTTGATCTGGTATCAGTTATTTCATAGTTTACTTGCACTCTTGAGCACATATATTCTGTGGGAAAATAATTCCAAGTACTCAATATTAAGGAAAGTTGCACATTAGTTTAGATACAATGTATCCTTGGTTAAAGTTGCATTCGCACCCATAAATATTAGGTTATATACGGGCATTCTCAGCATTCAGTACTGCTGTGAATGCTGCTCATAAACCTTGATTCTAATCCACAAGTTTATCTCATTGATAACAATGGAAAGACTAAATGTACAAAGTGCTGTTTTAGGCTGCGGCCACTCTTTTTCAGCGTATCATCCTTGTAGGCAATTTTTTTCTAAACATTAATTTATTTGATTCCGCACATTTTGGTGAGCTAGGGTTTCATGTAATTTTCGGCTGGGTT